TTTGAATAAAAGAAGCTTCATGTTCAAAATAAAATTTTGTGTCTTTCAAGTAACAAAGACTTAATTCTGTAAGAAGGGGAATAGAATTTTTAACGCGCAATTATTAAAAATACCCCAGTTTAATAGCCTGCTGACGCGTAAACAAGCACGGTGACCCCATCGGTGTTAAGAGAAAAATACAGTCGACAAAATCGAGGAAAATGAGCCCAGAGAAACTAAATAAACTAGTTATAACAGACTACGCTAAAGTAAAAAATCAAGAACAAAAGCCTTGGCAACCACACGCAATGACAGCTACACTTTTCAGGCATTTAAACGAACAAGAATACAAGTTTTCCATGATAACAAGAGGGATTTCAAGTCACGTACGTTATTTGTTGGAGGAGAAAGGTGTCCGTTGTCGTGCGAAGACCTCTATTAAAACATCCATGCGATGGTCTGTTTCTTTCTACCTCAGTAGCAAAGGAAACCGAAAATTTAAACACAGCTGTAAACATCTGGTTCAAACTAAACCAATGGGGAAAATATCATAACTTACATAATGAAATTATCCGTAGCTGGTGCTAGCCTTAAAGAAAGTGAGAAAAAAAGTTTACCAGTCATAGCGCAAGATAAACAACAGTCAGCAAGCTGAAGAAAGCAAAGGTTGTATGTAACTTTAGAATATATCGCCAATGTCACGGCAAAAGAGTTTTAAATTTCGTCAACGACTAGTACTCGATAAAGCCGACGAAGAAGAGCGACATGACTCTCCATAGCAATATCCAAATGTAATAATGAAAACCCCTGCGCTAAGAAAGAGCAAATGTTATATTAATACTGGCAGTTTCCGACATGACAACAACTGTGGCTCCACGCACCCATCGATCGCAGCATCGAAAGAAAACAAATTGCCTCCTTCATTTTCGGGTTTTAAATCTCAAAAATTTCTCCATGAATCATGCTATGAATCACACAGCTATGATGGTGTCTCAGGGACAGACAATGATGAACAGTCGTTAAACAACTCAGCAAGTGTCTTTCATCTTTGGCTGCCCGAAGAGTTCTTATTTCAAAACGGCAGTATACTCCTTGTAAACGCCTAGCTCTCATAATCGAGGATAAATTTAAAAACACTTACTTTTGCTGATTATTGTAAACCGAGTTATCTTTAACAGGCTGGTGACCGTGTAAAATCAATCCTTGCACATTTCCAAGTTCTTAGCTGAATGATGTTGAAAGCGTTGGTCTTGAAAACGTTTGAATTTGACAAAGGTAGTAGTCTGTTTCAGCCAATCAGTTGAATGAACTAAAAGCGCGCGCGCCGTTAAAATTTGTTGTTGTAGTTAAGTTTACGTGTATATTATTAATAAGTAATCACATGATTTCCTCGTGCAATTTGAAATAAATAAGCACTTGTAAATTTTTCAAAGACCACAAATTGCTTTTGTTGGTTGGTTTTTTTGGTTATTTTTTCCAAATTGCACTCGAAATCACGTGATTGCCTATACCAGTCCGGGCCACAACCAGATCTGGATATATGATGACGTCACCCACATTTGCAAAATGGCGCCCACGCCGAGAAACACGAGGGAAGGTCACTTCCAGGCTCTTTGCTGCGCCTACGATTGTCTTTTCCCCATACTACTTTGAGAGCTGTGACTTTAAACAATGAGAAATCAGGGTTGTGAATTAGAAAAAATACCGTCCGATGATCGTTTGTGCGTTCTTGGGAGGTAAAACGACCGAACACGAGAGTTTTCAAGCTCAAAGAAATGCCGGACAAGGCGCAAAACATCTAAAAAAAGAAGGTGAGTTTCAATTTTCTGATCCTTAAAAAAATTTTTCTGGAAATCTACATAAAATTTGCTTCTTGATGGTGATCTTTTCGGTGTAGTGCATAGCGAATTCAAATATTGCCGTGATTTGGAAGATGCAACAGTCAGCTGCGCCGTTCACGTGCTGGTTTTCATTCATTGTAACGCCATGTTTATTTTATGTTATCTTGCAGTCGGATGAAAAAGCAAAAGCACCTTGTTTTTGTGGCAAAAAGATGCCGCCGGTTTGTTCGTGGAGAACCGTAACCATGGTCTTGCCTGATCACAAAGTGGTTTGGTATTAGATGCTTTGGTATTAGATGGTGTTACTTTTCTTCAAGGAACATCCCAGCCATAGCGCTCTTTGCTTCGACATTTCTGTCGAACTTAGTCCTTTTGCGGTCAAATCAATGTTTTGGTTGCGGTCTAGACCAATCACATTGTAGGAAATTACATATCGAGATCTGGTTGTGCCCCGGACTGTATGCAAAGTTCACTTTACTCATAAATGATTAAAAATGTTTGCAACGTTGAAAGGATTTTAGTGGAAAATAGCCTGTGTACAGACGCCCCTCTCCCCTGAAAAAAAAATCTGGTAGAGAGACGTCTCTCTCCCAGATTTTTCCTCAGGGGAGGGAAGCGTCTGTACACAGGCTCGCTATTGAGTGACTGTCATTTATGGCAGTTGATAAATTAAGTACAAAATTTTAGTTTTTTTCTAAACGTAATCTATTTTTTTACTTCCACTTTAATTTATTATTTCGCAGAAGCTTGGATGAAGGGGAAATCGGCACAATGAAATTCATGGACACACACCATACCTGCACAATTTACATGTAAGCTGACTCCAATAAGGTATTTAAAATGTTAAAACAACTTCAATAGCACGAGATAAACACATCATGGGGCTTTCTCTGCCACACTTAAGCTTTCTATCTCCTCTTTCGTATGTTTTTCTGTTCCCTTTTTTTTTTTTACACCGCCGCTCATTTTTATAAAGGTGATGTGAATTTTTGGCCGTGTCTTTTTTCCGGTGGCTAATGGGCCCTCCTTCGGTCTTTCTTTCTAACACGGAAATCGTCAGAGATTTAAACCGAAAGGAGAGTTTTCACCTTTTCAAAACAAAGGATAAATTCTTTTAAAAAGTGTCAGTTAAACGTAACGGAGAGAGATTAACCGTAAACTAAGAAAAGCAAAAAAGGTTCAGAGAGGAGTTGAAGCACCATAGTGACCCGTATGGGGTGAAGGCAGACTGTCGAATTCACTTACTTTTATGCCTGTTTAGTGGTTTAGGGCAAGGTGACTCAGAATACATCGATATCGAACAGTCACCTGCTATTATGGAAGGAATCCAGATACAAGCACGCTTGGCAGAGGCTTTTGGTCGGGCTGGATTTGCAAATAGAACTTACGGGAAACAAAAACTTCTGCCATGTTCAGTGGGAACATTTGTAAATTCATCCGTGAGTGATCCCAATGAACTGAAATGCGTGGAATGTCCTGCAGGTACGTTCTGCATTGAATATTTAAAGAAATATCAAGTAAGATATTTACCTTTCCCTCTTCCTGCAAAGTAGTTGATTTGAAGAGTTTATTATATTCAGACTGTACTCGTTTCCCATTGCATGTAGTACACATGCCAATGGTATCGTTCACCATCAGTTTTTCAACTTGTTGTGTTAAAAAATTTCACAGGCGCATTAGTCTTATGAGCTTTAGGTATAATTTCATTTTCACGGCAGTCATTTTAGGCAACTTTATCACCATACAGATATTCCATATCTTGACTCACGTTAAAAAGTAAATAATCAATGAATATTTTTCCAAATTAACCTTTTGACTTTTGCTTAAATTCCTTGGACGTTTTAACCATCTTTTTTCATAGCATATATTAAAAAATAACTATTTGAAAATATTCGCTCACAATTTTTTTGGGGGGGATTTTCCGTTTTTTGACGAATCCAAAATAATTAAATTTTAATTAATTAATTAATTTACGCGAAATCGACCACGTAAAAAGTATACCATGCATTTTCATAGCGTTCTGTCACAAAGGCGCTCTGGCAAAAAAAATCAAACCGTAAAAATGGCGTGTATGTGTAAACAAGAGGCCTTACGGTACAGAACGAAAGATATCCGTAAGGGTGCAAATATAACCTCAATTTGGAATCTGGCATTCTTCGGTCGCAGGAGAGCCAAATAGTTGCCTGGCTAGAATAAAACTGAGTATGATAAAACGATTTTGATATTGCTCTTGTGTTTCTTACCTATGTCGTCCTGAAAGGTGGATTTTACTCCGACACTGAAGCTTTCGCTAGTGACAGCTGCTTGAGATGCCCCAATGGAACTTTTGTTCACTTTAATAATGCACCTGGAGTTCGAAAATCTGATTGCATCGCGTGCCCACAAGGTATATGGCATTCAATATTAGCCATTATGAAGTGGTAAGAAGCACAGGTTCAGTGAGCATGTGGGTCACCGGCAAACCTAATTATCGTATGGATAGCAACGTAACTTCAATGATTTTTTGCCAAATATTAGGGGTTGTTTAGGTAGCACTGTGAAGTCCCGGTCCAGTAGGTTAGGCAACTCTTGTAGGCGGAGTAACTTTCGTATCCAGGTCATCAACTGGCTACTTTCGAGTTACCCCAAGCCTTCTCTTCAAAACTTGCGTTTGGTTGTTTGCGAAATCCTTTTTTCGAAAACTAGAATTACCCTTCTGGCATCCCCGTCCGAAACTCAGCATTGACAGCGATACTTAGGAACGAAAGATAGAGTGACCGGCCGCGAATAAAATCTCCCATCATTTTCATCGTTTCTTCTTCTTTTTTTTCCCCTTTCTTTGTTTCATTGTTCTGTTGTATAACTAAATGTCTTAAGTATTGCAAAACCAATCCTTTGGCTCGCTTCACGATAAATAGTTTTCTAATCTTATTTCACTCAAATGCGAAATTGGCACTAGGACTCATAGAGAATGAGATTTCTGGAACTTGAAATGGCCGGTATTCGAAGTACAGGTATACCTGCCTCTTCTCTACTCGGTCACCTAAATCCTCCTCTCGCGTCATTTATATTTTTTCTCGAAAATGTTTACATGGATAGGCAGCCGCAGAGTGTATCTAGCATCTTCTTGACGGAATGTTTTTAAAATGATTTAGATGATTAAAATAGTATGTGTGAAAAGGCTTTTGCCAGCAAATTATAATGACATCCAAGTCATACTTCAATTATTCTTTAATCATTCTCGTGCTATTTGCGATAGGGACAGACACAAACGAATTCGCAGGATATCGCGCCTGTAAATGCTTGACAAACTTCTACCGCACTCATTTATTTGAAGACTGCAAGCCATGTGATCAACCTGGGTTACAGTGTGTGCATGATTTTGCTACTCTACGAAGTGGATATTGGTGGAAGTGGAGAAATGAAACAGACAAAATGATTTACAAAACATTTACTGAGGGTCTAAAGAACGCCGGTGTTACTCCTGTTGTGCGCACAAAAACTATCGCGCCTGAAGGATCTTATATTGAATACCCATACAGTCTTCCTCAACCACAAAAATGTCCGAGAGAAAAATCGTGCATAGGAGGTTTGGTATCCTTATGCGCCCTTGGTTACGAAGGCCCCTTGTGTGAAATTTGCAGTAAAGGATTCCATAAACAGCTTAAGTCGTGTAATAAATGCCCAACGAAGAAATGGATGATCGGACAACTTTCAGTCCTGGCAGCAGTCATTTTATTAATAATTGTTATTGTGGTTTGGACAAGCAGGAAAAAAGGCAAGAAAAACGAAGAGCGTTCCTCAGTAGATATCATTCTTGGGAGGCTAAAGATAGCCATAGGTTTTTATCAAGTAACGTCGGGAGTTCTTGAAGCATTCTCGTACATCAAATGGCCAGATTCCCTCACTCAAATTGGAGAATACTCCCAAGTACTGCAAGGAGACGTTTTTCAGATTGCTCCAATCCAGTGTCTTTTTGAAAGTCTCAAAGTTAATGCATTTGGAAGTTTGTACGCTATATTAGCTTTGAATGCTACTGCAATAATTGTGGCAGCTGCTGTTTACGGAATCAAGAAGCTAACTTTAATGCGAAACACTCTTAGCGAAGAGGTGAAAGTCAAGGAGATGTCCCAAACGAAAGAGGTGATCTACAGAAATCTGTTTTTCTTCCTTCATGTGACTTACCTGAGCACCTGTTTGAAAACAGCAAACGTTCTTCCCCTCGCTTGCCACACAATCTGCGTCGACGAAGAGGACGAAGCTTGCGAAAAGTTCCTTAAAGCAGACTATAGCATCGACTGCACAAGCTCGGAATTCAACCGTTCGGTGTTCGTTGCATACTGCACTGTGGCGTACATTGTGTTTCTACCAACTTCATTTTTTATAATTCTTTGTAGGCAAAGAAGCTATCAAAAACAAGAACGTGGGCTCAGTACTAGTGTTAGTCTGCAAAGCAGAGAGGTTTTGACAGGGTTGCGGTTTCTCTTTGAAAACTATACCGAGCAGACATGGTATTGGGAACTGGTTGAAACAATTCGGAAGGTGGTTTTGACCTCTGGATTGATCCTTGTGGGAAGCGAGAGCAGGGCCTATGTGGGATTGGCTTGTGTCATATCAGGTCTCTACGGGATGTTCTTCGCTTATAAACGACCTATTCTGGATTCCTTTGAAAACAAGTTAATGCTGTCATCCCTTGGCGTTACGTTTGTCAATTTGGGAATAGGAGCTGTCAGTCGAATCCCAAAAGAAGGCCTTCCATCCTCAATCAACCCATACCTTGACAACATCATTTTCAATGTACTTGTGTTTGGAGCAAATTCTCTTGTCATTGGACTTCTTCTGGGTAAGTATTGCACACCTACAATCCCAGACAAAAGTAGGAAGGTTGTACAACTTAACATTAGTCCATTTTAATCCTCAAAAAAGAGAGTTTTCTCTTTTGCTAAATATTCTCAAACACCTAGCCGATAAGCTCTCAGAAAAGAATTAGGAACCTTATCACATTACTATTACTTGGATTAGAACATTGCTTTCTTTTGAGATTTTAAGGTCGGTACACACATGCGTAAGAGGTTCCAGGACACCTTTCCGCAAAATTCCACAAGGGGATTTCATTGATGACTGCCGCTTAAACGCTATTAGTATTTTAAGGGTCTTTTTAATATTTTTATTTAATTTTTATTTGAGATCAGTTGTTTATAATTGAAATGAAATTTTTCTTAATTGAAATGATTTTTGTTTAAACGAAATGAACAGGAGCTTATGAAAATAGTGCTTTGACTGAATATTTTTCTTTTTTTCTTCAGCGAAATTAATTGCAAATAGGTTTTAATAGTTAGTTTTGTTATCAATAAAAGGTTTTCTGTTATTATTATTATCATTATTATTGTTATTATTAAAAATTTTTAGTACACCAAATCTTTTATTGATATCAAAGCTAACTATAAAATCCTATTTACAATTTTAAAATTTCACTTAACAAACTATTCAGTCAAAGCATTATTTACAATTCCTTTCGATTAAAAAAAAGAACCTTAATTTCCATTGAAAAAATTCATTCCATTAAAAAGATATATATTCGGAAAAAAAGCACAAATTACTATTATTGTTATTATTATTATTATTATTATTATTGGGCTAGTTTTTTGTCAGGGTTTATTTAAGTTTCATTCAGTCTTTGACAATCTCACTCAGCCTTCAACATTGTTTTTCTTGGTCTGCCTCTTTTTTGTCTGCCTTAGTCACCCTGTCGCTGTAGAATACAATACCGCAAGAGTCGGCTCATAGCCTAGTCAGTGTTTCCCTCGAAGACAAGTCGCCTTCTTTAAAGCCCAAGATTATTACTGTACATAAAAATACATTGGTGTGAATTTTTTGCAGTTCAATACTTGACAAACGTCTACGGTTATCTCAACACGTGGCGTAAAAATCCCCAGTGGTCGTTTTCGTGCTGTCTTGCCCTTCTTCTGCCTCTCAATGAATTACAGGGCGACGTGCAAGGATTGAGTGGCAAAAGCCTCTTTCAACAACAGCTGCAAACTGGAAAAATGGACATGCCAACTATGTCCGGCGCTCTAAAAGACAGCGGAACTATTAATTTCAGCCTTGAAGAAGACGAAGAAAAGCAGCAAGGTGGAAAAAAGAATCACGAAAGCAAATTGAAGCCCTTTAAAGGGATAGAAAATGTGCAAGACGACATCGCCCTCACTGAAGTCACCATTCATGAAACGACAGCAGGGAAATACGATACAGCACTTTAAGTAGTATCCAATATCGACAGAGCCCTAAGGTTAGCTTTAGGACTAATTGTGTAGATTCGTTCTCTTTGGTGCAAAACATTCTCAGTAAATCATTGCAGCGTATAATAATTCTGACATTTTCAGATTAGATCAGAGTTGTGCAAGGCGAATAGAAACCATAGATTGATTAGAACCTTGCATGTGAGGCTGATGAAGTTTCTATTTAAAAGATTATCTACCATTTTGAGTCGTTTTGTCACTCTGAACACAGCAAATTTCGTGGCAAAGAAATCTAAAATAGTATAAAAGTCTACAAATGGGCTTAGAAGCCGGTGGACGGCCCCAGATGATTGGCACCTTATGCATTTGAACACGTTAATTGTATTGCTCGTAGTCACAAAAGTCTTTTTAATAAAACTTAGTTTAAAATTTTGTGTAGATTCTATGATTCGCCATACTGTACCTAGTAGCCTGCGAGCAACTCGCCTGGGGTTCCCGCGGGTACGGAGGTGGGGAAAGGGAAGAGGCAAAGGAGAGCTTGCACTCACGTCTCATAAATTTTATATCTGCGTCCCAGAATGGATGCGAAATTGGCTGATTGGCTGATTTTTAATCATGCGATGACGTTATGTTCCCCCGGGAGAGCTTGCTTGCAGGCTAACAGGCGAGACACCTTCATTGGTGTGGAACCTTCGAAAACCTTTTACATATTGCTCTAACGAGAAAATCTCTTTCAGAGCTTTGACGCTTTTAAAATTACACTATAGGTGGGTTACTAACTATAGTTACCTTTAATTCAGTTAGCTTCTTTGCAGTAGACAGAAGAGGTCTCGCGGTACAGTTTATATAGTGTAGCGGAGGGAAAATATGTAAAATTTTAGCATCCTACGCAGCAGACAAATTCATTTCGATGTATTCCCGTCAATTTGTTATCCGTTTTAATAGCAGCGGAGAGACACAATACTCTGAGTTCATGGTACGACATAAAGCTTTCAAAGTATTTTGTTGTCTCAATGTCGAGGATTGAAGCAGGTGTTAGCGGTGGTTTGCCACTTTTTAAAAGTTCTTTTGTTGATCTGGCACCATAAACCACCTGACTATGAGAACGAGACCTCGACAATTTTCTGGTTCATCTTTTTGCTGCATCCTTACTTTCAGGGCTTCGTTCGCTCGTGGGAAAATTATCTGTCATGCACACGCTGTTGCTATGTTGGTTTACATTTGACGCTCATTTTCGCTCCGCGACGATTGCCCAAAACTGACAGCTCTGTCGACGGGGAGTCATGCAGGGGGTACTGGAGGCGGAATTCAAATTTCTGAGAGGTGACTGCAAGCTCTCTCTCCTTTTTCGCCCCGCCGCCAGAACGCCAGAGCGCCCCTCGCTATATTACGAGAGCTTGCAGGCTATAAATTACCAGAAATGACGTTGTGGAAATAATCGAAGCAGAAGAAATTAGTAGATGAAAAAGGCAGCGTTGTGGCGTCCGGCTCAGTGTATAGATTTTGACACTTTTTGGTAGTACTGAATAAACTCTAATATTTAAGCGTGGGACTATGAATTTTAGCGAATACTCGGTGACTAGGGGGTCATTAGCACCGTGTCACCTTTCAAGGATGTAATGAGATATGTCGCGGATGGAATTGTGGCTGAGAAAGAAAAATGGACGAGTTCACCGATGTTAGACATGTTTAAAGTTGAAATGTTTCGGTGGTTGGCCCCAATTTAAAATTGGGGCGCTATTCCAGTTACACGTTGTGTTCATGGATATACCGATTTGCAATCAGCTCCAACCTCAAAATTAGACACAAACGATCGATTGCTTGCCTTGGTTATATTTATATTGAATAATTCTGTTGCATAGCCCTGAATCTTAGAAAGGCTTTTTGAGTACTTATCTTTTTCAATTGCCACATTTTTTATCTTTCATAACGTGACAGTGAAAACAGAGAATTGTTTGTTAAGTCGCGTGGTTGTCGTTGTTATTAAAAATCATAATGCATTATACTTCTATGTTTACTTTTTTAACGCTCATAGCACTATGGCGATCAGTGCGATGATCTGTTCGTGTGAAAGTCTTTGGTGAACCATATGGCAACGTTATAAGTACAAACTGTGATCACACAGAAAACAACATTAACTCTTAATCAACTAAGCCTAACAGTTTCATTGAAACACTTTGTCCTGGTAATAAGATGATTGTTTTGACATCTTTTAATATATACTAACAGCAAATAAATAATGTGTTACAAAAAATACTGTTAAAATCATGTATTTTTCATCACTTATTGTTCACAAATGAAAACTGAAAATTCATGGGGTTGTGACATTTCAAATTACTTTAAGAATCACATTTTCTTTTGTTTTCTACACAATACCTACATCTGTAGTTTGTCTTTTGGAAAATGTTTAGGGTCGGTATGTCTTTTCAGGATAGGCTCACAGAAGAAATATTTCCGTAGTTCACTGACTTGCAAGAGAATAAGTGGAGAAGGATTCCCTCCGCATTAAGAACTTCTAACTTATATATGATATAACTCTGTTGAGAAAAGGAGAACTGAAGCAATCCCGTAAGTATGTGTAGATTTTGTATACCATACTCTCTTATTAGTATCCACTTACAGTCTTGTACTGTTGATTCAGTATTACAAGTGTGTCTGGTACAGTAGGTCTCAAATGCACCCAGCGATGGTTCCCTCCTAAATCCATTGAAAACACTTTTAAGGTCAGTCCACAGAGTAATTTCAGATCTCTGGAAATTCATTCTACTGAGCGGCGCTATAAAATTTTTGTCTGTCTGCCTGCCGTCCTAGGGTTCGAAATTACACGCGTTCAGTATTATTTCCCCGAAATTTTTGGACGCATTTTAAAGTATTACGAAAGTAAGACTTTCTTGGATTCCTCTCTCTGTGGCATTTCGAGTACGAAAATTGTTGGTTTTCTTTTTCTACGAAAAATAACTTACCATGTAAGGGGAATGAAATGCGAAAAATTAAACTTTAGAAAATCGTAGAGAATTTGTTAGATAAGCTTGTAAACTTGTACACAAATAGAACAGTTATCTAGAAATTTTTAGCCTTCCTCAAGCTATACAAAAATTTTAGGAAAAAAAAAAGTGTTAGCAAGACATTTCATGATCGATACAGTACTCAGTAAAAAGGATCTTTGACACGTCAAGATGCAGGACCTAGAAACAACAAAGTATTTGAGGGATAAAGATCGGAAAGAGACGGCTTAGGTAACAAACGTTTAAAAAGAAAGAAAAATTCTGAAAGGGAACTAGTTGGCACCTCTAAAGTGCGACAAATTCACTAAAAAGTCTTTCTTTTTTCTCAACTCATATCTTGTTATCTTCAAACAAGTTTGAAAATAGTTACTGTGTTATTTTAGCCAAATAAGACAATGTGGAGCATAAAAGGACTCGCCATACTGCTTACATATCACACTCTGAGGACAACAAATGCTCCGGGAGAATTCAGCCCCGAGGAGAGATCCCAAAGGGGAGTAGCGCTACTGAACCACGCATACAGTAAGTTATACTCCCATAACTATCCAGGCTGCCTCATGGCATGCATGGAAGACCCACGTTGCATGAGTCTAAATTACTGGTGGTACACGAGTCAATGCGATCTGAACAACAAGACCAAGTATTCAGCAGAGTCAAAGTTCTTATGCCGAGATACGTCATCCACGTACATGGGACTGATGAGAGAACCAGGTATAGTGAGTGACTCTTCTGCTAAGGACACCGAGCCTGCACACGTATTGTGGTAGACTCGCCCGAACGTTGATTTTCCCGATGGCGTTTCGCCCGGTAAAGTCGATTGGCCCGATGATTAACAAGTTTCTACACCACGGTGAACATATCGGAGATTTTTCGTTGTAGATAAGNTTTGAGGGATAAAGATCGGAAAGAGACGGCTTAGGTAACAAACGTTTAAAAAGAAAGAAAAATTCTGAAAGGGAACTAGTTGGCACCTCTAAAGTGCGACAAATTCACTAAAAAGTCTTTCTTTTTTCTCAACTCATATCTTGTTATCTTCAAACAAGTTTGAAAATAGTTACTGTGTTATTTTAGCCAAATAAGACAATGTGGAGCATAAAAGGACTCGCCATACTGCTTACATATCACACTCTCAGGACAACAAATGCTCCGGGAGAATTCAGCCCCGAGGAGAGATCCCAAAGGGGAGTAGCGCTACTGAACCACGCATACAGTAAGTTATACTCCCATAACTATCCAGGCTGCCTCATGGCATGCATGGAAGACCCACGTTGCATGAGTCTAAATTACTGGTGGTACACGAGTCAATGCGATCTGAACAACAAGACCAAGTATTCAGCAGAGTCAAAGTTCTTATGCCGAGATACGTCATCCACGTACATGGGACTGATGAGAGAACCAGGTATAGTGAGTGACTCTTCTGCTAAGGACACCGAGCCTGCACACGTATTGTGGTAGACTCGCCCGAACGTTGATTTTCCCGATGGCGTTTCGCCCGGTAAAGTCGATTGGCCCGATGATTAACAAGTTTCTACACCACGGTGAACACATAGGAGATTTTTCGTTGTAGATAAGCTTGGGTTCCACATGTACTGTCAATTTGTTTCCGCCCCTTATTCCTTTAAAGAACGACAAAAACACATCGACGAGATCGCGACGAACTGGCGTCGGTCGAATCGACCTTCGGGCAAAACGACCTGCCACCCTGCATACGTGAAAGTACATTGGTTTATTCTTTAGTTTGAAGGACCTGGCTGGGTAAAACAACAGACAAACAAAAGTTACCACACATCACTTGTAGTGTTAGCAAGACAGAGAACTGATATATACTTCTTTTAATTAATGTTTACTTTTCATTCAGCCTTGATTACACTGGATAATAGGACGAGATCGGTCTTTTGTTAGTTATCTGTGCAGGTACTTCAAGACCCTCACCGCGCATAATGCCTGGACATCATTTATTATTCAGAATCAGCAAGGTGGCAAATTTGAATTTGAGTTAAGGAAAGCTTAATATGTAACAGGCCCAAATTGGTCAAGTAACGCCGATGAAACTTACTTTCCTGCTTTCGCGCGGCTGTTTTAAGAAGGATTTTGTTCCTGCAATTTAAGTATCAAACGAAGAGAAAGATTAAAGTACAGTAAGGAGTATCGCTTTTTTAATTGAAAGTACATCAAAAACGAATGAATGAAGAAAAAATAGGTCTCTCGAACAACAAATTGATGACAAGCAGTCCTTGAAGTAAAAGCCTTTTTTTTTTTATCTGCGATAAGGAAAAGAGCACGATCTCTACCGTGAATCCTGTCTAATGAAAAAAATTGGGTTTTGTTTGCCACAAGCATAGATTTTTGTAGACAAAAGAAAAATAAAACTTATTTTCTTTAGAACATTTAAAGGATTGAACGTAGTCGTATATCCTTGCAATGACACTAGAATACGCTAGATATCAACGAACCACAGAGGTCATATATTGCACTTTAGGTGAAGTGAACTAACTGCACAATCGTCATATTCACACTTGCCCAGACTAACTAGGATAGTAATTCGCACAAATTTCTTATGCTCTGGGTTAAAAAGCAAATAGGAAGAGAACACTATACACAAGACGGCAGATCAGCTCAAATCTGTGCATTACTTATACAAGAAAAATAACATGGGATTGTACATTTAACTCAAACTTACCGCAGGCTTATTATAAATGATTGTGAGGCTGAATCTATATGTACATATAGCCTTCATCTTGAATTACCCTAAATATTTTACAGCTGATTCATAAGCTACAATTTATAAATTAAAATCGAAAGGGTTAAGCCATTTTATTGTTCTTGATGTTGATCATCCCTTTTCAGTAAAAAACTGACTTCAAGGTACAATTTGCAATTCCATTTTCTGCATTTCAGGGATAAAAAGGCCTATGTACCGTTCCTGCAGACATGTGCATACGTCACAAGGTGACGGAGAATATTCTATTGATCCAACGATGTCAGGCAATCCATTCACGGTTTACTGTGATATGACTACGGATGGAGGTAATTTAAAAAGATTGAACCGTGAGTACTTTCACGTTATAAAGTAGCAGGGTTTTTTTTAGGCTCTTTTTTGTTTTAACTTTCAAAATCTGGACTTTCTTGCTTTGCCCATAGCAATGACACACAGCTCCAGTTGCAGAGCTTTACTAGCGTAACGTAAAGCCAATATTTTATACAAGATGAACCGCCCCTTTTTCATCTGTTTTACTCGTAACAACTGCAAAACAGCTTCCAAACAATAATACCTTCCAAGCCAATTGATTATTATTCAATTAATTAAAAGCATTTCGACTAGAATATGAAATAACGACTATGCCGTTCTCCTTGTTCCTTTTTCCAACTCTTCATATCATGCCAGAGAAAAAAAATACTGAATGCAAACAAGATTAAAACGAGAATAATACAAAAAAAAATCTAAAAGAGGAGTCGTGTTTTTTACTCGTTCATGGTTCGTGACTAAAAGATGCTTTCAGAAATGACCAGTATTTGCACTTATTTGGTTCTTTGTTGTCACACATACATTAATTTTTCCGTCGTTTTATAAACTCGTCATTTTTCTCGCGGACTTACTTATTGTTCTCTTTAGAGCGACGGTCCCATAAGTAAACAGCTGGTAATCAAAGTCCCGACTGTAGGACAAAATTGTAATTTCAACCTCTATTAAGCGGTCAGCCTCTATCAAGCGGCTGCAACTACCTTTTGGCCATCACAACAAGGGTTATCCTATTGCTGTCACCTTTATTAAGCGGTCACCAATTCAAGAAGAATTAGTTTGGCTTTACTATTTAAAAATATGATAGAGGAAAATGCAGTCTGAGAAGGAAGCTAGGTGTAGACTGATTGTTGACCAGCCAAGCCGATGCCACTCCCGTCGCGTGTTTGTTTGAAATTCGTTAAAAGAGGTTTTTCTGCTAACGATTATACTAATTTATGAGGAACTTCCATCAGGCTGCCGGCCACTTGCTGGTACCTCGAGGGTAGCCGCTTAATTGAGGTTTAACTGTATTGTCTCCTTAACTGTTGTATACGGTTGCTGTATGCTTTAGGTGGTTGGACTGCCATTCAAATGGTCTCATTTACACAATCCAAGCTCCACTTTGAAACCGAGATCCTAATAGCTCAATCTTACACTGATCTTTCCCGCTATTCTGATCACCGCCAAAAAGTTTTACCCAGTGTCCTTCTGAAGCTGCGAAAGGACATGGGTTTTAAACAGATTAGATTTCACTGCCACAAGAAGAAAGCTGGAACAGTGTTTCACATCATGACCAATATCAATCAGCTGGGCGAGGCTGTTGTGGAGTATTTCACTTTTGCCAGCCCGTTAACCACACGACCCGAGGCTTGTGGCTCATATTCAGTCCTTCCGGATGATAACTCTACTCTTTCTGAAGACTGCAGCAATTGGAGTGGAACCCGTGCTCAAGTCGATGGCAAATGGGGCGTTCAAGGTGCTTCTCCCTACGATTTTCCGATTTTGGAAGCAATAAACCGATACGGTGAAAAAAAGAAGGATGATCGTTTGTTTTATGCAAAACCCCAAAGACGACAGTGTGATGATGGTGATATTGATGAGAGTTCGCTTTCTCCAGGAGACTTTTGGTCAATATTTGTTCGTTGAGACATATTTAGTAAGGGAGACTGGCTATGAAAGGCGACAAACATCAGAACATCAAAGATAAAAAACAACTTTGCTGCAGTTTAAGTTGGAAGTTCCCTGACGGTGCACAATCCATTGTTTTCTCTTCACAAATTGTGACTGAATGAACAGAGGAGACGTTTTTATTTGTTAGTAAGATGAAAAAGATAGGAATGCTATTAAACGTTGTGTACCGTCAGGTCCACAAAATCATACGACAAAGGAGTCGCCTTCATAACCATTCCACTCACTTTTTAACTATGGTTGAGAGTATCTAGTAAACAATACAGGGATGTTTTAATAATCTAGCGTAATTATTCTGAATCACTGTTTGCAGTACATGGATCTTTGGGACAACAAGTTTTTAAACTTCTAGCCCATTAGAACATTTTACCGATACGGTGGTCCTGTTGAAAAAAAGTTTGTTGGGAAACCTTTCCCATTAAAAAAAACAGCAAGAACGTTTGTGTCACATTTGGGTGTAGTAATCTGACCGATTGACGGCGGTTTCCTGTAAAACAAGACTCAAATTTAGAAGAGCTTTTCAAGAGACCGAATTAAAAGCTGCCTTTTTGTAATAAGAACCCTGCTTCAAACTAATTTTTCGAGATTTGGCCAAGAAATGAACGAGGTTACGGAAAAACACCATCCATTCCCCCTCGGCCTTAAAATATTTAAAAAGTTTATTAATCAATGTGGCCGCCGAATCCGTAAAAAGAATACTGCTGCGATACAAAGTAAACAATTGGCATATTTTAAATCAGCGGTGAATGAAGAAGGGCGAGGATGATATCCCAACTGTTCGGCCAGGAAACGAAGATAACATTTAGTATGAAATCCCCGAGAAGATTGCAATGACCACCGGCCGTTCCGTAAGGCCGGTTTTCAATAGCGACGGTAGCGTCGGAGTCGTAATCAGAAGCGCATGACTTAACGATCTAGTGAAAGCACCCGGTTCTGATTCCGCCTTACCAGACTCCGTCGTTTGCGATCAAGTGAAAGCTAGGCTGCCGGAGCTCGAGTCGCAAGCAGAAGCAGAAGAACTAAACCAATCGCAAAGCGTGGGAACGTGCATTGTGTCTGGTTTATCCTTCTGCTTTTGCTTCCGACTCCGACAATCTATATAACAAAACGAATGCTGTTGTACTTTGTTGGTTATTTATCCTCTTTAGCCGTACCAAATAAAACTCTCTTAAAATTAGGGGTGTAATTATTAAGACTAATTTTCCCACCAGCGTCCCTGTCTATTTCTCATTGGAGTCCCTTCGGGAACAGAATGCATCAACCATCCAAATCTTACTTGGCCTCGGCCAAAGCCACTTGATTAAGCAAGTGAACTTGAATAAATGGAATGATGCTAGCAATAGATAATGGCGTTCAGCAAGAGAAAATTAGTAACGTTAGGCAGCACTGAAAGAGGGGCATAGCCCCTTTTCAGGGTCCATTAGCTCATAAGGGAATTGGTTAAAATTAAGTTTAAAGACGGTGTCTCATTTTAAATAGTGGCCCCTCTGCCTCTAGGAAATAGGTATGATAAATCTATAGCAAAAATTTCCGTTTCCAGCAGTAAAATGCAAGATTCATGAAAAAATTGACAGATTAAATTGATAAATGTGTCAATCAGGCTCAGCAGATCGATCTTATTTTAACTCATAAACCGTCAAACTAGACAGTGTATATTACTATTTATTTAACTTTGCTTTATTTTATTTTATTTTTATTTATTTTTTGACGGGGGTGGGGGGGGGGGGG